TTTTTTTGTTGCAGTTGTTTAACTAGCCTGGGCCGGGTTCGAACCCTCCACCCTCGGTATATGTGGCTGGTGACATGACCACTGTGCTATGGGCACGGAGCCAGGTGGATCATTCTTCATTCTTTATAGAACATATATTTCACAGGCCTAATTGCGTTAGGTTCATAAATACATTTGCTGCACATACATAATTTGTGTTACATGACATATTCCAGAACCAAATTCTTACATGATTTGCAGACTGTCTGTACTCAACTGTGTGTCATTTAACAAAGCCCTGTTGTGGGGCAGAGGGAAGGAGGCGGTGAGAGGAGTAAAGTTTCTGGTTTAACAAGAAACCAAGAAAATAACTACACCTATGTACTGGGTTTTCCCAGAACCTTTTCTTCTAGGCAGCCATAACCACTGGTGTTTGCCTCAGTAAAGAGAAATTCTGACTTGCCCCTGACATTAGCCTCGTACCTCTGCTCCGGCTGAACTTGAGGACTGGCACTCTTGGCATGCCGGGCTGCTCCTGCAGTGGCGGTGGCAGCTGCTGCGCCCGACTGGCACATCCATGGCTGGCAGGCCCTGATGCTGCTGTAGACCACTGTGACAAAAATTAAAGTGCTACCATGAAATCTAGGGGAAAGGAATTTTTTTTTGAAGAGTGTCTTCAGAGCATAATTCTTAGCTTTAAAATGTAAAGAGCTATGAAGGCAGAGATGACTGTCTTAGCATTTCTCTGTAGGCAAGGCCTGGGGGCGGGGGTCAGTCCCCAAGGATGGCTTTTGGGGGGTGCAGGGAGGCCTGGAAACTACACACACCTGCCCTGCCTGCCTTGGCCACAGCTTTTGCTGTGATCCCTCGTGGGAAGCACTGCATGTTAAGAACATTACTGATAGCAGTTCGCTGTTCCCGTGAAAGCTTAGGGGCCTGCAGAAAAGGTGAAGAGCCACTGACTTAGGGAGTAGAAATTGAGCCAGTTTTCAACCCACTGCACATCTCATCTCCGTCTATAACCGAGAACCCCAGGACTGCCCGTGGATGCTGACGGGGGGCCCTCTGTTTTCCACGGCCTCCCTGGCCCTCCTCCCCCAGCACCCCACCACACAGCCAAAAACATGCCTCCCCCAGTGTCCACTCCCCACATGCCAGCACCCCAGAATTCCCTGTCCCTGAAGCCCCACGTCCACTGCCAGGGTCTGCACAGGACTCTTTCCTAGATTCATCCTCCTGAGGGCAGATTATGCCATCAGTGTGACTGATTCTTCACCTGCACAGCAGCCAACTCCCTCAGGGCAGGGGCAAGAACAAAGCTGAGGCATGAAGACTGGAGGGGCGCCGGCGCGTGCGTGTGCGCATGCGTGAGCGCGTGCACTTGCGCGCACCTGACACTCCACAAGGCAAGAAAGAGCAGGTGGTAGGAAGAGGAGGAAAACCAGTGCGTCAGGGGCAACGGTCCCAAGGCCTCTGCATTTCTACAGGTGCTCTGGAAAGTTTGAGAGCTCATCCTTCCAGTCATTATAAAGATCTGTTTGTCAATGTAGGAGGACAGACCATGTTTTGAAACCTGTTAACTTGCTGTCCCACGTGTGTAAGTGCCTCCATGTATAGACTTGTCCTGGGCCCCATAACACTTATTATAATAATAGGCCTGGAGAAGCCACTTGAATTAAGGAGTCCCTGTGCCATATCCAGTTGTCCTATGAAGAGTATCGGTCCCTAAACATCCAGTGAAATGAAACTGAAGCTACAGCAGGTATTGAGGGTGGCAATGTGTTTACTACTGTGCCCCGTGCTGCACACATGACCTTCTTCCCCATTCTTGAATCAGCAGGTTAGAAATCAGCTTGCAATCACTCTCTCAGAGGAGGCAAACATGTAGAAGGAGAGGGACTCAGGCTGCTGACCAGCAGACCTTAACCTTGAATCCAGCTCCCTCACTTATTATCAACGTGACCTGGGCCTAGGTTATTATCTTCCTGAGGCCTCGTTTTCCAAGCTGTAAAATGACAACACCTTGCCAGTAGGATACTTAGAAGATAGCAGGGCATTGTGGCCAGACTCTATGGTTCCAGCTACTTGGGAGACTAAAGCTACAGGAACAGTTGAACCCAAGAGTTTGAGCTACGATACCACGGCACTCTACCAAGTGTGACAAAGTGAGATCAGACTCAAAAAAAATAATTTTTTTAAAGGGTACTTAGGAGGATTAAAGCAGAGAAGTGAAATATTCTACACTGTCTGCCATATGATTAGTGCTGGCATTAGTTTCACTTGCACGTTTCTAGAGGTTAGGGACTACACCTGCTCTAATTTTTAGTATTGGTAGCTCAGTGGCTACATACACCAGAGCTGGTGGGTT